CTTCTATTTTTTCCTCCCAATTGTGTAAATTGTTATATAAAAATTATTCTCAAACAGTACAATTGTCTTTAAAATATATGTAGTGCTCGACTTTATTAAGATTTTTTAAAAGAATTAGCCTCTTTATGCCTTGGATCATTTATCTTTTTAATTAAACTTACCAAAAAGGAAAAAGAGGAGCTAGTAACATGATGATATATTAGGTTAGGGACATTTAGAATAAATACCCCATTATTATTATAGTAAATTAGGCATCTACGTTTTATACTTTTTTTAGTGTGAAAATTGGATTATTTTTTGTAATATGTGAAGGGCATAATATACCATGTTTGCCACCCAGAGTAAGAACACGTGTATTCAAAAGGTAAAGTGGCTGGTCTGTTTGGAAAGAAAAAAAAATTAGCATGTTTCATTTGTATGTTTAATTGATAAATAAAAAATTAAAAGGGAAATTTATTTTCATTAATCAATATTAAAGCACTTAATTTATATTTTATCAATTAAAAGCAAGGTATAAATGTAATAGCAAATTTTATAAAAAAAATGTAATAGCAAAACATACATATAATAAATTTGTCGGTCTAACACAAATAAACAAAAATTTTAATTTTTTTTATTAAGTATCAACATTTTATTAAAAATAAAATAAAAATACAAAGATATTAACAATATATGTTAATAAATTATTCATACAATTCATATACATGAACTTTTCAAAAATTTTGCATAAGTCACTTCCAAAAATAATATTTAATAAAATTAAATATTTCACTAATTTTTTCAAAAGTGTTTATTTTTAAAAAAAGAATATTGTGTTATTTATCATTTTTAAGCACATGTAATATACATTTTAGAAATTGAAATTATTAATTACTTTTATTTTTTTATTTTAGAAACATTATTTTTCAAATATCATTTAATTATTTTTTAAATTAATTATTTTAAATTTTTCATTAAATTTTTTTGTTTTCTTTAAATTTCAACTACTCTGCCCTTATATACTAAATTAAAGTATATTATTTTGCAAGTGATTTAATCTTTTATCCTCTCACAGGGTGCAACATATTTTATTCTTAATTTCCATTTTCAAACTTTAATTATGCACTTTTTATTGTTTTAATTTTAACATATATTTTAAATTTTTCTTAAATTAATAACGTTATAGTGTTAAACGTTTTCTTTTGAATCTATATTTTTTTTTTCTAAATATAAATTATATAATCAATGTAGGTATAGCTCTTATTCCCTATTAAAGTAAATTCTGAGTGATAGGAATCTATCCTTATTTGGAGGAACAACTGATCATGGAAATAAAATCAAGGATATGTAGGCTTAATTAATTAAGTTTTTATTTAATGATTTCTTATAATATTTATATCATAAATTTAGTTATGAAATTTATTAAAGTTAGAGTTTATTTTAATAAATTTCATCAAAATTTTGTTAAAATAAATTTTTAAAAATTTGTTATAGTATGTTTTCATGTACTTAAATTTATGTTTACAAATTTTTAAAAGAATTTTTAAAACAAGATATAATACTTTGCTAAATTAATTTTTTTTAATCTACAATGAACTAAAAAAAACAAGTTTTTAATAGAAAAAAAAAACAAGTTTTTAATATAACAAACTTGTCATTTCACCCACGAAAACACCCCCTTTGACAGTGTCGTAGTGCATTCGTACGAAAGCTTTTAACAGAGAATTACAATTCTCTATGAAATAACCTTCAATTAGAGAATAAGAATCCAGCGAGTGCACATAATTTCTATACCTCCAGCCACCGATCCAGCTGACACGTGCCCTTTTTTTATTAAAAGGAAAATTGAAGATAACAATTACTCACACAAAGGGAGATGAAAAAGATTGCACATTCATTTCCGTTTTGGTCTTCAAAGCTTTGATCATTTCCCATGTTGCGTGATTCTGTACTCGTTAGTATGACTTGTATCAACATTTTCATGTTTCCATTTTCCCATTCACTTCTTTCAATTACCCATAAATTTTTCATTTTTTTAAAATATATACATATTTATATTTATGTAAACTTAATAATGTCATATAATTTATGTATAAAGTTTAATTAATGAAATAAAACTTTAATGTTATTATTTTTATATGTATATTTATTTCTAATATACATTATTATAAGGAGTAAGATTTTTTTATTAGTGTAAGTTTAAAAACTTTTATATCCAATCTGAATTTTATATTTAATTTAAATTTAATGAATTATAATTTATTATTTTATTTACTATTAAATGTAAGTTAAATTAAAAATTTAAATTAAATATAAGAGTTTTTAAACGTGAAAATATCATTTCTTCTATTATAATACATATATTCATGCATTTTGTTGTTAGGTATCTTCTGATTACAATATAACATGAAAAGTCCCAATCAAATTGCTGTCTATATATTCTAGTGCCATTGACGGAAGCAAACATGCAGGTCAATCACGGACCCGATATGAACGTGTAGACGCTTTTCTGAATAAATTGAACCGAAGAAGAAAAGTATAATGGAAAATTTTGTTTTTTTTGCTTCAACTGCACAAGAAGAATCGGAATGGAGAAAATAATTTAGTGTAAATGTATGTTGAAGCCAACGAATATTCATTAACCATTAATTTTATATATCATTATGCACTACTTATCTGTGATCTCTTCATCAGAAGAACTATTTAGTTGCACATGCCTCATGTATTTATAAATCTCAAATAAACTGGGAATGAAGAACCATACAAGCTGTTATATTCCACTTTTTCCCTCTCAATCATTAGATTGGAAGAGAATTTTTGGGCACTTTGCACTTTGCTGCTTCCGATTACTAAGGATATATGCATCGTCTATCTCCAGCGCATAATGAATATGAACGTCGTTACCTATGTTAATTACCTTCCTTTTTTCATGTTTTACAATTTTATTTTAACTATTGACATGAAAAGAAACAAAGTGATATGAAAATATTTTATATAAAAAATATTTTTCACTGAATTCAATAATATTTTATATTCATGCAACTGACTTTACTTGATCGATAAGATTTTGTTGTTGTTGAGAAGAAACACCAAAGTCTTTTTAAGCTGTTTTCATTATTCTTCAATACTGCATGATCGACATCTTTTGAGTTGTCGTCACTGTGATCACTAATACTCGAGAATCGTTTAATGTATTTCACATTTGGAAAATATAACACGTAGCAAGTTTGGTTCGATTTTCTCGATTAGTAATTTACTTTTGATAAGCAAATTCATTTATAAAAGAGTTCCACTATATGAATAAAAAGGAAAGTTATGTGTGTTTAATTTTTTTATACGATCTTTTATATTTTAATTGAATTTGGTGTTGATATTTCATTTTTAACTAATTTATTATGTAGTGATTTTGATTGTATTAGTATTTTATAGATCAATAATAGTTTATTGGTCTTTCCATGCATGTTGCGTCAATGTTGAAATCCTAATAGAATATCATTTTGAAAAAACAGTTTATTCATTAAAATAATATATGATTCTGTCGTACTTTATGATAGATTAAGATGAGTATAAAGAAGATAAAAGTTATAAAAGATAGTTATAAATAGAATATAAAAAGTATAATTATTACTAAAAAGACAAGCTTGGTGGCGAAAATAACAGTTTCACCTGCACTAGTTACTGACTAGTACTACCTTTGAATTATGAAGATAATGTTGACTTTCTTTAGATAATTTATATTAAGGAAAATAATCCTTCGGACACTCAATTTTATCACGGCTGTTACACTGCCATCACATGTGGATTAGAGTATGAGATATGATACAGTTCTCATTTTGGAATGAGTGTCCAAATACAGTTCTTATTTTGTAATTTTAATGGGAAAGTTCCTGTCTTTGAAATAATCCGTCTTTAATTTTTTAATTAATTTAAAAAAATATTTATTAAATATACAATTATTTTTAAGTCTGTCATAAAATTTTTAGTTATATTTACATTTACTTAACTTACACTACAATTTATTTTTATTAATTTCGAGTGTTCGAAATGATCGTAAGTTTCTTGGTTTTAGTTTTACACTGTAAATAAATATGTGGTCAATTAAATCTGAATTTAATTGATTTAACTTAATTTTAAAATGCTTTAAACTTAATTTTCAAAAGTATATTTTATAATTTAATTATAAAATAAATTATTTTATTTGACTTCATTTTTTTTCCAAAAAAATCCATATAATAATTTTCATATTATCATTATCACCACTACTCTCAATATTGTTAATCATGATTGAAATTATTATGTTACTGTAACAATTATTAATTATTTTAATATTTTCATAATTATTATTTTATAACTATTTTTATTAAGTTGTTAATGTTATAGGTTAATTCGACATCTTTATTTGTATTGTCATTTTTACTATTATTATCGTAATAATTATTATCATCGATCATTTATTTCATTATTATTATGTTGTTTTCACTACCTTTATTTATTGCCATTATTATTGCTTTTACTGCCATCAATAAAAAATTATTGTTATCAAATAAGTTTAACTAAAATAATTATAAATAAAGCTTTAGTTTCAATTTAGGTATTAAAGTTTAAAAATATAACTAATTTAAACAGTTTTTAATTTAAACTAACAATCACTCCAAGTAACTTTTTGAAGCTTCGTTAGGTTAAGGTGGGAAATAACTTCAAATTTAACTATAAAAAAAGGTTCTATAAACAAAGCGAATTCAATATATAACATGCTAAGTTTATTAGTTAAGTAATGTGCTGGTAATATTTTAAAAAAAAAGTTTGGATAGATCAGTGCTAAATATTAAGAAATGAAAGTAGGTAAAACGAAGATGAATGTGATGTGAAAAACTAGTAAAAGTGTGATTACGTATGGAAATAGGAAGTGGATGGATGAGGGAAGAAGAGAGAGAGAGAGAGAGAGAGAGAGTGAAGGGTGATAGAATGGGTGAAGAAGTGGGTCAAAGAGGCATAAAAGCGTTGGGGTGTGGAACCCCACCACCATAAAATCGCATAAACCACACCTCTCACATAGGGGATATATATATAGCACCACACAGCACTGCACCCACTACCATCTTAATTTCTCCTTCTTCATAACACTTTTTCTATATAACCTTACTTCTGATTGCAACGCCACTCCATTTTTCTTCCAACATGGGCGGTATCAGCCTTGAGGAAATCAAAAACGAAAACGTCGATCTGGTATATTTTTCGTTTCTCTACCATTCTCCTTCTCTCTCTCTCTCTCTCTCTCTCTCTATCTATGTATATATAAATTATATGTCTGTCCTCAATTTTTTTCCTTTCCATAGAAATTCTTTACCAAAATTAGTTCCATTCCATCACTCAACACATTCACTTTGCGTTTCTCTTTTCATACTGGTTCGTTTCAGCAGTAACACGAACCAAGGTTAAGCTTCTCACGGCAAATAACTTCAAAATTATATTCGGAAATTGAAAATGCTTGATTCTACGAAAGTTATTGCACAATTTTGTCATAGAACTGTGCATATTCATCAAGTATTTTATTTTATTATTTTAAAATTCTCCAACAGAATTTTAGTAACTCTTTCGTACTCATTTCGTTCCGTGCTAAATAAGGGTCACAGTCATAATTCCTATTAAACAAAATTAAGAAATATGATGAATATTTTTTCAATAAAAATGTTGGTAAACTTGTTGTTGTAGTTGGACAATTAATAAAGAATAAAAAAATAATTATCAAGACATTAGAAAAGACAAAGGGAATATGAAAGTTTAATAACACCTGTTAACTGAGGAAAGACATGGCGTGGCCTTTTGCCGCGTGACCCGAATTTCCTTTTTGGTTACTACGCTAACAGTCCTTTTTCTCTTTCACGAATCTTTTTAGTTAAATTTTTTCATATATATTTTTATTGTATAACATTACGAGAGGAAAGATTAAAAAATATATTATTTAATTGATGAGTACTCTCTTGTATTTTTTTTTTGTTATCCCATTTCATCTCTCTCTGTAAGAGAGGTTTTGTGAGTCATTTTTAAGAAGTATTTAGTGTGAGAATTCATTTAATTTTCTAAATAATATTAAACTATGTTAACTCTTTATATTTTATATGGATATTTTTAAAAAAATTAAAAATATTTTTAACTATTTTTTATGAATGATAATCTAAGATTTTTACGAAAAAAAATTGTTGTAATATTCATGAAAATATTTAAAAATCCGTAAACATTATAATTTTCAAAAAACAAATCCATGTACCAAACATTGCGTAAAAGAAAATCAAGAATAAAAAAATAATTGATGAGGTATAATAGTAACTGTTTGATTTTGTATCTTATGGGTAGAACAGTAGAGTGCTACATAACATATCTGCGCCTGCAATTGCACGGAAAGAAACGAATCACGACAATTACTGCTTTCTTTACCAACCGCTCGTTTTTACGATTCCCTTAACGCACTTCTGACGCGTGTCCTCAAACCATTGACATTCCATTTCTATGCCCCTTTTTCTTTTGAAAAAAATAATGATTATTATAATTTTTTTAATATTCTTTAATCAAATCTATTTTTTTCTTTCTCGTAATTCATGATAACCTCTTTAATTTTAATAAATAAGCAATACTATAAACTCTTTAAGTTTTCCCTTTTACGTCCAAATTTTAAGCAAAAAAAAAATTGTTTATTAGACTAATTAAAATTAAATTAGCAACTTATGCTGTGTTATATAGAACCTCTCGATCGGTTTCCGCTGTCTTGCGTGGAATGCATCCGTCGTAGTAATTTTTAATGTACAGTTTGTCTGTTACTTTCTGTCATATTAAAAAATATTTATATTTATATGTTACCTTTAAAATTTTAAGATAATATTGGTTATTTTTTTTATCAGTTATTTTCTAATTTTGAAATTAAAATATTAATTAATAAGAAAGATAAAGATATGTAATGGAAAATTGTACGATAATTTTAATAGAAATGAAATCATTAGATTTTTTTAAAATTATGTATTGACAAAACAGGTAAAAAATAGAGGAATTACTATTCTAATTTAATTGCCTTTTATTTATTGAAGAGTTATATACCTAAATTTTATTCACCTAATTTATCTGTTGTCTTCCATTATTGTGGATCAAAATCTTACGTAGCACAGCACTGCTTGAATACCGGTGAATAAGCTAAGCAGATAAATATGACATAAGATAAAGTTGGTTGGTAGTTTTATGTAATTTTTGAGAAATAAGGAGGCACTGAAACGTGTGTGCCATTTCCCAGGAACGAATTCCAGTAGAGGAAGTGTTTGAACAGCTGAAATGTTCAAGAGCAGGCCTTTCATCGGACGAAGGAGCCAGTCGGCTTCAAGTTTTCGGGCCAAACAAATTGGAAGAGAAAAAGGTCACTTTTGTTTATCTCACACTGCATTTAATTTTTCGTACTTGATTGAGTTGTTTCATTAACATTATATTCTTGGTTTCATGAACAGGAGAGCAAGGTTTTGAAGTTCTTGGGTTTTATGTGGAACCCTTTATCATGGGTCATGGAAGCTGCTGCTATAATGGCCATTGCTTTGGCTAATGGTGGAGGAAGACCCCCAGATTGGCAAGACTTCGTTGGTATCATTGCTCTTTTGCTCATTAACTCCACAATCAGTTTCATTGAGGAAAACAATGCTGGCAATGCTGCTGCTGCACTCATGGCTGGTTTAGCTCCCAAGACCAAGGTCTAATCTTTATCTTTGCTTGATTCATGCACGTGCAAACTTGCATGCATGCATTGTTTGTGGTTATTGATGGTGGTTGTGTTTTGTAGGTTCTAAGAGATGGGCGATGGACTGAACAGGATGCTGCAATTTTGGTGCCAGGAGATATAATCAGCATTAAGCTTGGAGATATCATTCCTGCTGATGCACGTCTTCTGGAGGGCGATGCTTTGAGTGTTGATCAATCTGCTTTGACTGGTGAATCTCTTCCAGTGACAAAGAATCCATCTGATGAAGTGTTTTCTGGATCAACTGTTAAGAAAGGTGAGATAGAAGCTGTTGTGATTGCTACTGGGGTGCACACATTTTTTGGTAAAGCAGCTCATTTGGTGGACAGCACCAACCAAGTTGGGCACTTTCAGAAAGTCCTTACAGCAATTGGTAATTTCTGTATTTGCTCCATTGCTGTTGGGATAATCATTGAGCTCATAGTCATGTACCCAATACAGCACCGCAAGTATAGAGATGGAATTGACAATCTGTTGGTCCTATTGATTGGAGGGATTCCAATTGCTATGCCAACTGTTCTGTCTGTCACTATGGCTATTGGTTCTCACAGGCTTTCCCAGCAAGGTGCAATCACAAAGAGGATGACGGCTATTGAGGAAATGGCAGGGATGGATGTCCTTTGCAGTGACAAAACTGGGACTCTGACACTGAATAAGCTGACTGTTGATAAAAACTTGGTTGAGGTTTTTGCTAAGGGTGTTGAGAAGGAGTATGTGATCCTTCTTGCAGCAAGGGCTTCTAGGACCGAGAATCAGGATGCCATAGATGCTGCAATTGTTGGGATGCTTGCTGACCCAAAGGAGGTAAATGTGCCATAATGATCTCTTATATTATATACATAAGCAAATAATTATAATTGAATTAGATATCTACGAATATCTAAATTTTATATATAAGATCATTATGATATCACGAGTCAATGGTTACATTACTAAAATTACTTTTGATAAGAAGTTATTAAGGATATTATTTTACTAAATTTGATATCGTCGGATCTTGTCCTTGTATATATACATATATACAGTGAAATTGGGATGAAAGAAAAAAAAATTTAAACTTGTACTTTGAATTTGTCAGGCACGAGCTGGTATCAGGGAGGTTCATTTTCTTCCATTCAATCCGGTAGACAAGAGGACTGCTTTAACGTACATCGATTCTGATGGAAATTGGCATCGAGCTAGCAAAGGTGCTCCTGAGCAGGTGGATATTTGTTATGTTGGCACCATTTGGTTTTGTAGACTGTTTATGAAGATGTTAGATCACTAATCTATGCTTTTCTCCTGAATTAGATATTGAACCTCTGCAACTGCAAAGAGGATGTCAGAAAAAGGGTTCACTCAGTGATTGACAAGTTTGCTGAACGCGGCCTCCGTTCTTTGGCTGTTGCTAGACAGGTTAGCAAAACTCATAGTGACATTTCTAGTTTCTTCCAACCTATTGTTTGAATATCGTTCATATATCGCTGCCTGTATGGTCTGTCTATCACAGGAAGTACCTGAGAAAACAAAGGATAGTCCTGGTGCACCATGGCAATTTGTTGGTCTGCTACCACTGTTTGATCCTCCCAGGCACGATAGTGCAGAAACCATCACAAGAGCTCTGAACCTCGGTGTGAATGTTAAGATGATTACTGGTATGATTTAAGGTCTTACTTTCATGTAGTTCATATTTCATACATAAATGAAATTGTATAGTTTGAAATTGTTTGCGGGTTTCTTGTTCTAGGTGATCAGCTTGCCATTGCCAAGGAAACTGGCAGAAGGCTTGGGATGGGAACAAACATGTACCCATCTTCTTCATTGCTTGGCCAAAGTAAGGATGCTTCTGTTTCAGCTGTTCCTGTTGATGAGTTGATTGAGAAGGCTGATGGATTTGCTGGAGTATTTCCTGGTAGGGCCTTGTCCTTCTAATAAGAATAATGACAGTAGCATTAACCATTGCTTGTGGCTTTCAACTATTTCAAACATTCTTTACCTGTTCATGATTTAACAAATGAATAACACTTATAATCCTTTCTTCTCTTTCTCTGAAATGGTAGAACACAAATATGAAATTGTCAAGAGGCTGCAAGAGAGGAAGCACATATGTGGAATGACAGGTGACGGTGTCAATGATGCCCCTGCATTAAAGAAAGCAGATATTGGAATTGCTGTTGCTGACGCTACAGATGCTGCTAGAAGTGCTTCTGACATTGTCCTCACTGAACCTGGTCTGAGTGTCATTATTAGTGCAGTGCTCACCAGCAGGGCAATTTTCCAAAGGATGAAGAATTATACTGTTAGTTTCCTTGCTTACATGATTTAATTGCTGACTTTAATTTATAATATCTTAGCAATCTAAACTCAGAAATGTTGATTGTTGATTATGGCAGATATATGCTGTGTCAATCACCATTCGTATTGTGGTAAGTGCAGAAAAAACATGTTCACACCAAAAACGTGTCAACATTTGTACATACTTATATACATTGTTCACATAATTTATGTGCTCCATTCTTCTTTTTGACAGTTTGGTTTCCTGTTTATTGCATTGATTTGGAAGTTTGATTTTGCACCCTTCATGGTGTTGATCATTGCCATACTAAATGATGGTAAGATAATATTTGCATGACCTTCATGTTGTTCACTTTGACTATCTATGAAAATGTTTAATTTAATCTCTTTCACTCCTATACCTGTAGGTACCATTATGACAATATCCAAGGATAGAGTGAAACCATCTCCACAACCTGACAGCTGGAAACTGAGGGAGATATTTGCCACTGGCGTTGTGCTAGGTAGTTACTTGGCACTGATGACAGTAATATTTTTCTGGCTCATGAGGGATACCGACTTCTTCTCGGTAATAATCTATATTTACTGTTTATCGTAGAATTATCACCAAATGGTGAAAATTGTAAGAGCTAAGAGCACAACTTCCACTATTGCAGGACAAGTTTGGTGTGAGGTCTTTGAGGAAAAGCCCCGAAGAAATGATGGCAGCACTGTACCTACAAGTCAGTATTATAAGCCAGGCACTAATTTTTGTCACCAGGTCCCGCAGCTGGTCCTATGTTGAAAGACCTGGTCTTCTCCTACTTGGTGCTTTTATGATTGCACAATTGGTAAGCTTAGACCTGTTTTTCTCCTATCAAAACAACTTAGTATATATATATATATTTGTTTGTTAGTTTCTCTTCGCTTTTGCCTTTTTTATTGAAGCAGTGTCATTTAGTTTTGTCAAGAACCAGGTCCCCAATATCATGCGTGCTCGTCCCCCACTCTCCATATTCACCTTTCAAAATAAACAGCAAATTACTGATTAATTAATAACAGTTTTGTTAACAGTTATTGAGGATAGTTTTTAGCACCCAAAATATAAGTTATATATATATTCACAATATAATAATTACTTTTTTAATAAATTTTTTTTTAACACTTTTAATGGTTTAACTCGTCTATGGGGGGAATTTTAACATATTTCGTTATCTAAAACTAAAAGCTTTTGGCTTTCTTCTGTGGCAATAATAATTTGCTTCATGATTGACAGGTTGCAACTTTTCTAGCAGTATATGCTAATTGGGGCTTCGCTAGAATTAAGGGAATGGGATGGGGTTGGGCTGGTGTAATCTGGCTCTTCAGTTTAGTGACATATGTGCCTCTTGATATACTCAAATTCGCAATCCGCTATGTTCTGAGTGGGAAGGCTTGGGATAATCTTTTGGAGAACAAGGTATTGTCTTCTTTATTATTATTATTTTATTATTAGTTGCATTATCATCTTAATCTAAAAACATTAAGATTCAAAACCTGTTTATGCTTTGCGATGTCAGACTGCCTTCACTACAAAGAAAGACTACGGCAAAGAAGAAAGGGAAGCACAATGGGCAGCTGCACAGAGAACTCTACATGGTCTTCAGCCACCTGAAACAACCAACCTTTTCAATGACAAGAACAGCTACCGGGAACTTTCAGAGATTGCTGAGCAAGCCAAGAGACGTGCTGAGGTTGCAAGGTAAGCCATTGATTTTACTTGTATTGTGTGCAATCGAGTTTGCATCCCAAAGCATTCATGAAGTGGTAACTTTATTGTTTTTGCTAAGTATGTTTAAACGTGATAATTTTGTATTATAATAACATAACATCTAATATTACTAATACATTCTTCGTAAGATTTCTAATAAAAATCTTGTATTTATTTATTTCTTATTTGGTTCCCTCTAGGATAATGGATAGAAAAACCGCTACAATATCAACAATGACCTTCATACACTCTAAATTATTCATATATTATTGAATAAATAATATACACGGTAGTGTCTTAACAGAGATTTTTAAATTTGTTCACAGGCTCAGGGAGCTTCATACTCTGAAGGGACATGTTGAGTCAGTGGTGAAGCTGAAGGGACTTGACATCGATACAATTCAACAGCATTATACAGTTTAATTAAGGAGCTTGGACAACTTTCAAGAAGAACATGCTTCGGTGCTTGTCCGAGAACAAAAACAGCAACATAATGAAGACCTAAGTTACTCCGTGTTTTAGATTAGGATGAAGGTCCTTTGGTGAAAATTTGACTGGTTATTCCTCTATTCCATCTATTTTAGTAGCTGGAAGAGATGCTATTCTCTTTAGGTACCAAATAACATGGTTGATAGGATTTACTTGCGTCTTTTTTTGCGAACGTTAATGATATTAAGGTCACTTTAAAGCCCTATATATTTTTTTCTCTGAACAAAAATCTCAATATATTTTTTATCTTGATTAATGTTGCTAAATGCTGAATTCAATCTTCGTGTCCTTTTTCTACATCCGTTCGTGTCCAGCCCAAAAAAGACAACATCGTGTGAATTTGTGTCAGTAATGGATCCAGCAACTGGTGGATAGATGCAGAAAAAATGGAAGCACTCCGAAATTAAACTGAAAAAAGGGTCACGCGTGATCTTTATCCTTGTTTCTCGTTTTGAGTTCAACCAATGGGTGGAAAAATGGATGCTGTGTTGTTGGATGAAAACATGTTCACAGGGACATGACAATAGACAAATTACTGATTTTCAGGAAGTCGATAAATATCTCGTCTTGATAAAAAAAAGCTGATATTCCTGATACAGCAATTAGATCTTTAATGGTGACGTCATGTGCATTGAACTTTGCTAATTTGAAATAAGGACGAGCTCCAGTATTTTTTTTTTTTCACCTTTTTCTTGGGTTAACTGTATGGTTTGTCCAAAGCCGAGTGAATGTTCAAAAAGTTAAATAACACTCATATACTTCTTGCAACAAATTTTAGAAATTTTTTTATTTTTACCTTTTCTATCACACCTGTGTAAAACTCTCCTAATTATAGAAATGTTGGCATAAAATTTCTCAAAAAGTTCAAGAATAAATCCCATACAAATGGTATCCAGCTAAGTTTTACAAGGGATTACAATGTTCTCCTAATCTTTGAAATACTATTAAAAATAGTCATTATTAGCACTTAGCTGTATGGTATACATCGAGTGGTGGATAAACCCACCAGCAGTATGATCCTTCATCCTTCTATGACTGCTTATAGCTGTAGCACTTTTTCAAATAACAATTTTCTTCTAGATTCTTAACAGATAATTTTGGTGCTGTGCAGAGCACTAACGCACGTCGTTTTTTGGGTATAAAGTTGCCCTCAATAATTACAACTATTTGTTGCGCTATTTGAAGATAAGAGATTCCGAAGGAATAAAGTGATAGTTTCCCGATTCTGATATCTACCCACTGAGGATTTTCAGAAACGCAAATCTATTCCAACTGTACCATCTACAACCATGTATCATGTGCGTTCCGAATATGTGCTTACCAATTTTTCTTTATGCGTGCCGAAATTACCAATTAAAAGAAGAAAAATGTGAACAACCCTTTTTTTTAACATATCCGTCACTGTTAACTAAAAATATTAAAAATTACAAAAATTATCTGAATTTCACTCTTTCTCACTTCTAAATTAATATTTTTCTCACATTTTTTTAATTTTCAACTAATAATAAAAAATGTTAGAAAAAAATGTTAAAAAATACATTCCTAACATTCCTCTTAAAAGAATTATCAAGTTGAGTACAAAACCGTTCTCTCAAGCCAACACCACAAAGCCATCGAAACCTCAAGTGCACTTAACCCACAAGTATAGCACTCGACGGCATTTAGGTTAAAACGAAATACCATTCATTATAATCCCAAATCTAAATAATTACAGATGGTCATTCGTCCATACTAACCACTTTTGACTTATCATGTAAAAAAGAGAACCAATCATATGAAACCAAATTACATGTATATTGAATTATGAAGTAAAGATGAATGAAAACAGTTGGAACTTGGCATGGATGTAGAACTCGTAAAAATGATATAAGAAATCAGAGTAGGTATTGAGCCAAAATACAAATGGAGTAGGACAATAGTACATAAAAATGTGTTCAACCTATGACCAATTTTGCTAGGTAACAATTCTAAAGCTATTTTTTCTAACATTTAACAGCTCTACCAAGAATTTTTACAGATGAATCTAGACTGCAGCAAGGGCAAGGCGAGGCGAGGCTCTAGGTGGGGGCTCTTTGATGATATATCTGCTGAAGCGCTTGCGGGAGATTTAATACAATCTCTGCATATGCTGGGATGGGAAACAAAATATAAAATCAGTTGCAAGAGAACTATCAGTAGAGCAACGCAGAAACACATACCACAGTCAAATGAACAGGGAAGCAGGCTTGTAAAATAAACTTGGGGAAACTTCATAAAAAATACTTGCTAATTTTAAAATCCAAATTCACAGGTATGACAGCTTCACCAAGCAGCACACATCCCATTAGGACGTGATTATAGACCATCTGCTGATGACGAAATAGTAAAAAACAATAATGTTCTTAGAAATTAACCAAGGGGTTGCCTGTTTTGTGTCCATGGAATATTGTATGAAATTAACAAATACACCATATTAAATGTTTTGAATTACTTAAAGCAAGCTTTGAATGACTTCTGCATTAATTATATTATAAACACTTTCTTTTCAAACAAAATTTCCATTTTCACTTCTTATCATGTGCTCATTAACCAAAGCAATATAACTTCTACCTTCTGGCAGACTCATGGTTCGTAAGGCATCTTCCGCATAGGTTAGGCGAATTGGATCAGGATGACTTCCAGAGTGTCCATCTTCCTTTGATGTTTTTTTCTTAAACATTGGCCAGGCTAGAACACTGATTCGAGTTGGAAGCACTGAAATGAGATCTGCATATCGAAGACCAACTGTCACCTTGCTGCAAAAGAAGAAAGACTTGTTGAGCACAGAATATGTTTTAAGCTTTCACTTTATTTTTTCTCTCTTGCATATCTATTCAATTGCATTGAGAGGAACTAAGGTTAGAGGTTAATAATTTTTTAACAATAAAATCCCGATACACAGAAAGAAATGTTAATAATAAATTTAAAAAATAAACAAATGAACTATTCATAGTCAAGATACAAACAAAACAAAATTGTCTAACTAAGAATCCTCTTTTTATACAAGCCATTTCTACCAACACCCCACACCCCAAGCCACTTGGCCAAAATTTTCAGCTTGACTTGGCATTGACAAGATTGCTTAAGAGCATATTTGTAACTCAATTCTGGATCAGTTATTTTTATATCAAGGTTAACCAAATGCATAAATTTCAGTATAAAAAACACCATTAACGTCCATTCTTTTAGCATTGAAAGCTGCAGCACACCTGACTTCAACTTAGTCACCTTTTACTTTTAGCATCAGATCACAAATTAGAATGTCCCAAAAAACAAGAAATGGATAGAGAAAAGAACACACCAGCACCAAGTATAAATCTTGCTTCACCATCTGACTTCACCTTAACTAACATTTCATTTGATTATTCAAACATTCTGAAATAGCCTCCAAATATAACACTTATTGCAGTGGGAGAAGAAAAATTTAAAGGGTAACCATGATACTAACCAGTCAAAATCATCCAACACGAATTCAATCATATGGTAGGGAAGGCTATGATACAGCTCTCCGATTTGATTTCCATATAGTTCTTTTATAAGTCTGACCTGTACAATATTCATAAGAGACAAAAAGCTAAATGTATTGTTAATCATAAATAAGCACACTGGTATAACCATATGGTTCTTATCATCAAGAAGATTTATTGAATTTCCAAATATGAATGATAAATATATTCCATAGGTAAACTAGCCATATATAAGCCTATAACCTCATGTTTGAAATATACTTAGGCTGTTTGGTAAAACAAGCTGAAAGCGAACAATTAGCTAAAAGCTTATAACTGCATACGTAGCTCATGAAATTAAAAGTGTTTGACAAACTAATTGTGCAACTAACTAATTTGTGTTAAATGACTTAAAAAGATATGCAATATTATATTAATATAATATTAAAATTAAATATCACTTATTTTATTTATTTACTATCAATCAATTAATTAAATAAAAAATAGATTTTATCTTCATATATATTTTGAACATAAAATATTCTAAGCTATATTTTTTTTAATATAAAATACATTTGAATTGAAAAGACAAGGGAGTAAACAAAAAAAAATAGAAAAAAAAAAGAATTAGACTGTGAAAGTGAAGAAAACAAAAAGACAATAAAATTAATGTATGTACACATGATCTTAATTGTGTGAAGAGAAAGTTGTCTTTTTTAAAAAAAATGAAGGGTAAAAATGTATTAGAAATATTTTGAATAACTAACTTTCAAAAGTTACAAGCTTCTCTTATTTTTTATCTATCAAACAGTTCTACAAGCTTATTGACCAAGTTAATAAATTACAAACTCTTAAATAAGTTACAAACTACCTTTGCTAAACATAACCTTAGTACGGTAAATATCTAATCTTAATAGAAGGAACAGATAATAAAAGCAATAGAGAAAAAAATTCTTTTAATTAAACCATTTAGTGGAGCACAGATCAAATTCTTATGCACACCCAACTTTTGACACACCATAGACTATAAACGCAGGCCTCGTTGAATTCCATTCCTCCTCACATACAGTTAAGAGCCAAAACGCACATGATATTATTTGCATTTCTATCTTCATGTAGTTGGACAGTTTACATAATTTAAACACCATACAAGCCTTTTGCATTGCCATTTTGAAAAAAAACTATAAGTGCAGACCCTATTCAATTCATCCCTCCTCACATATGCCAAGGGCCAAAAGACATGGAACTTTGCATCCACAATGTCAAGTAATGGGACAGTTTACATATTTAAGGGTAGTCGCATGATAAAATTTATACTAAAGAGACAGGATGTGATAAGCTTATAGAATAAGCTTATATCATACCAAGTTAATTAAGCAAACACCAGAAATAAAATAGGATAAGAAAAGTTACCCTATTGTGTTCTTTTATCCTGCCTACCTTACAGGCCCTAAACAACGTTCAAGCTTTTACTAGTGATGTTTTGAATAAACACCCATTTGTACATTAAGAAAGAAATGCATCCTTGAAAATTGACTTTTAGCTCTTCTATGCACAACAGAAATGTCCTTGCCAAACAAAAAAAAAAAAAAACTAAACTGAAATGTTAGCATTAGCCCCTATTTAAATATTCTTAAATGGCATTGGCAAATGAACTGCAACCTGAAACAAACACTTCAACAAATTTCCAAAAAACAGAAAAATTCCATGCGTACAGTACACCCCTGATTGATGCAGGAGATGGTGTTTTGAGAATCCAAACTACCGAGGACATGTCATTTAGTAACAGCATATTACATGTCACAAGTATATAAATATATTTCACTGGAAGTCCAGCTGATACAGGTAAACCAAATGTTAATAAATTGCTTCAGGACATTCGGGAACAGGCAAACTAGTCAGAAAGTACTTGATTGAATATGTTTTGGAATTATTCTTTCATTCACATATTTAGGTTATTAATTCTTCCATAACAGAAGTATGATTGTATAAGTAAACTTTTATTACCCAATGCATCACAGCAACTTCATGTGGATTATGAAGACAATATATTGTTATTCCAAAAGAAAAAACATTATCATTAATGATTACATACATGGGCAGTCTACCTGTTCCCGTCTGTCTACATAAGCCTGCAACAGATCTCCAACATGATCTATGAATTTCTGAAAGCCAACCAATAAAACAATTATTAGAAAAAAAAAATTGAAACAAACATGGTGTAAAGGCGATACATACAAAAGTGACTTTACCATTGCATTGGATGAAAGGAGATCATTTTCTGTTTCATGTATTGGCAGGAAAAATGGAACTGTGTGTTCAAGGACAGTCATCTTTTCAAGAAATGATTTACTCTCCAGTACACAATGGTAAAATTCACAAGGTTCACCTGGCAATAAGGGAACAGGCTTTATCATTTATCATCAACTAATGGCAAAGGCAAAGACAAGATAATGAGGCAAAAGGAAAAAAAATCCAGCCCCCATCTTGTGATTTATAATGTCATCTCAAGTTAAATAAATAAGTGTTCGTGAATAAGCAAGTCAAGAGGAATTTAGTTCCAAATTAGAATTACCAGCAAAAGATGTCTCATACTGAATACCAATTCTTGCCCCTTCCAAACAGCAAATCACCTGCTTCCAAATACACAACCAAAAGACTACCTGATCATGAAGTTAATGCACAAAATAACAACTAATCCAAGTACAGCAGTAAACACCTAGACATACCAAATTTTTTTAATACATGTTTTTTGGAGGGGGGAGATTAAAAATTTTAGAGCAAACAAGTTCAATTAGCAGAAAGATAAAAATGAAACTCAAGATAGGACAAGAAACATGAGAAAAAAAAAGGAATATAGCAAGGTTGCCCATCACTCTAGTGGGATAAGGCTTGGTTGTTGTTGTGTAGCAAAGTTGCCAATCACTCTAGACATCAGAAATGCAACTCCCTTGAAACAGCCATGAGCATAATAACAATGATGAGTCATAAATAAAATCCAATCCCATAACAAGTTAAAAGAGACACCTATACAGATATAAGCACTCTACTCCATCTAAATGCACCATTTGATTGCAGAAAACAGTTTCTAAACAATACTATCACTTCCTAGCATTATATACCAACACATTTTTTGGCAAGTAGAAAAGAGAAACTGGAACCCACAAACATTCAGATCAACATTTCTTAATGTCCAATATGAAAACCTACAGTCCAATCAACCCATAGTTCATACATCATTAAACCCTTGAGCAGCCATAGGTAATATTAGTGTCATGAAGCATCCATATAATCAAGGATCAATATTCACATAAAAAACTCCTCTTCAGCACTTCCTACATTTTATGTCTCTCCTTGCAGGAATGAAATATGCATTACATAAATCCCAAATTATAATCCTCTACCTCATCTAATCTGCCTATCTTTTCTTCTTAAGCAACTGTCTAGAATCTTTTAAACATACACTTAATGGCAAGTATAATCTGCTATTACTGAAAAATAGCTGGACATTTGCAATGAAGTGTTCAAGCAGGTGTCGTCATACAATATTTACCTTATTTCCAATTTTATAGGTAATTTTTTCCTGAGGACATGCCAATATGTCAGCATCCCCAGGCATTGCTTTTCTGTCTGCCTCCATATGCACCTGACAGAAACATAATTTAATGTATCAATCATTATTATCAATGTAAATAGGGTAACTTAAAACCAACTGATAATTACAGAGACCATTAAGGTCAAATATCAGAACACGAGTGAAGTAAGGTAGCTATCACATAACCAATACCCGCTCTCTTATTGTAGCTAGTAGACCATCATTCCACTGTTCCCCATCTAAACATACCTCTACAAAAAAAAAAAAAAAAGGTGGTATGAGAAACATTTCTGGGCATCTCTAAAATTAAATGAACAAGACAAGTAGGTCAGCATTTCAGACGTTACAAAACCAAAAGTATAGGTTCATCTAGTCAACCAAGATTCACATCTAAAGAATCTTCCCCTATTAAAATCATTTAGATTATACAATGTTTCTTCTTTGTTTAATTCCCTTTCCTTATTCCAGACAAAAATGGCCCTGATATTTATTCTACATGATGAGCAAATATCAACAGCAGTAACATTTTTTATTTTATTTGGGTCCAGTGCTATTCTTGCCAGTATAAAATATACTGTGGACATTCTGACATTCAAACAGTATTTCAACCAATACATGACACTCAAAAGATCAATTTATGATTTTTGTTTAATTAAAAGAATCTTATTTTGCTATTTATATTCAATGTTTTATTGGATTCCCTGTATCAACCAACCCAACCAGTACATTGTCTCCTCTGGCACACAGGGCCATACATATAAGATAATATGAACCTTTTTTTTCCCAGATGATATAGGCAACGTCACTCTGATCCTCCAAAGAAAGCTGACATCAATTTAGCTCCCCAAACAAAAAGTGACATCAAAGTGTCAACCTTCTGAGTAAGGATTATGAGAACACTGTTAACAGCGCATCTGATTTAGAGACTAAATTGATGCCACAATCTATGATTGGGGACTAAATTCATGCTACTTTATGATACAAGGACTAGATCACTGTCAAATTTATTTGGAGGACCAAATAAATAGCACTTTCTATGACTCGGGCTAAATTAATGTCAACACTCTTCAGAAGAACAATTTGATATCACCCTGGGGGCATAAAAATAGATCGGTGGCCTATATGACATCCTATGATCGTATGATAAAGAAAACACCCATCTTTGGAGCATTAATTATGCTAAAAACAAGCTTGATTAAGTGAATATCAATGCACCAGTAATCCAGACAACAGAAGCCAGTAAAATATCCGTCAAAAAAGTGTCACATTATGCTGGATAGAATCTCAAGAGATACCTAAGCTATATTTAGTAAAAATCCATTTACTATTAATACTATCTGACTAAAGTGCTGCCCCTGCTGAATTACAATGTACATTCACAATATTAGGAAACAAATTATCATTTAATCATTTGCTTATAGTATATCTCTTACCATCAAAACTAAAATCAGAGTATTTATATGAAAAAAGATTGGATGGAAAGATGAATGGATGGAAACACTCGTAAGCAGTTATGCATCCATGTAAACAAAATGAATTGGAAATTGCATTATAAATGAAATAAATTAATTAACTAAAAGGTTGAAAAAAGGAAAGTTGTCAAGAGTAAAGAATCCTATCAGGCTAGACTAAGTCCGCCAAGGGAAGTAAAAAATTTATCAACCAAGATCAAAGTAAAACATACCTTCAGTTTGAGAAGCTCGTGCAGCTTCAAACTCTTTCTGTAGACGCTCAAATATTATCTTGTCAGAATCCCTATAAACCCAGTAAATATCCAAAAAAAAAAAAAATATTGTTACTACAGCATACCCACAATTAATGGACATTCAAAAACAATAATCTTCAATTTAGGCATCCACATATAATGCAATCAGATCACCAAGGAAAAGAGGAGAACTAAAAATCTCAAATTGACCAAATAACCCTTCATTGTATATGAAGCAGTTTCAAAAACATGCCTATAAAAAAGGGGGGGGAAGATCTTTCTATTAATGTGGAATTGGAATTGTGACACCTACATCACAGCACAACGAAATCTGACTTTGTATACTGGCCATAATTATCAGTCCAGGATAGCAAGGTTTAAAAGCAAGGCCCCAAAAACATTATAACGAGATAGCACACTATAGTGATATAGGTACAAGATATAAAAATTTATGTAACAGCAATACATACACAAATGCTCAAAAACTTAAAAATACCCAAGTTAAAAGAAACAAAAGTAGAAGAGAACACAGTAGAGAAAGATTTAACTTGAAAGACCTGTTTAAGAATGTGGAATCTGCTGCAACAAAGGTCCAAATGAAACAAACAGAACAAAAGGATGCAACAGTAACTGAGGTTTGAGAAAGGGGACAAAACAGAACAGGCCACAGAGATCACAGGTTGGCCAGAGAAAGCTAGAATAAACAGGAAATACTGCTGCTGGGTGTGGTTTGTCCAGATGCAGGAGAGTGTCAAGCTGTGGGAAAATTTACTGTGCATATTAATTTGTGTGATTGTCACATTTTCATGGAGCACTACTGATGACTTCTTGTTCTATATATATTAATTTGCAGTTTAAGCAGGTGCACACTGATGACTTTTAATGAGAAATTAAACTAGAGAAAAAAGAGACATGCATCTTGAAGAGCTTTTTACCTAGAAAGGCGCTCTGTCAAATCTCCATGCCTTTTAAGCAAACTTCCAACTGTCATGGACAGAACAGAATAACTTCTATGTTATCCAGAAAATGGAAGCAACACTGACAAGATTATTGACTTACATCTAGCTCGTGTATTCTCCAATCGATTATCATCATCTTGCATAAAATTCTGATGAAAAGAGAGAATCCAAATATGGTTTCAGCAAAGATATATCATTTAATAATACATATCAAGATAGAAATATGAAACTTGCATAAATTTCAAATCTTTTAACTAAAAATATTGGACAAGCCAAAAATGCACACAAACATCATAAAAAATTTATTGTCAAATAATCAAAAGGAGAAAGGAATTGTTCTTACTATATCAAATCTATAAACAGCCCAACTCATGACACGCAATGTTCATAATTCGCTATTTTGTTTTCCAATTGATCTATTAAGGCAAAGTGCTAATGCAAAGGTAAACATTCCCCACACCCTGCCCCAAAAAATAAATAAAAAATAAAACTTATACATGGTCAATCAAGGCCAATGCAATCAATGGCGCTTTTCATTTCAGTCTGCCATACCATAGTAATCAATCCCAAATGGTTGTGCAGAACAGCCAACCCCAAAAATGGTATAGTGGGTAGCAGAATGACTTCTATTTTGAAGTTTTAAGATACACATCACATAACTTTTACAACACAGTGTGTGTGTGTGCCCATCTTAAAATTTAAAAAAACTAAAATTAAAGACTTAGTCATATTTAGTGATTAAAAGTCAGAATATAAGAACTAAACACATCGATAAAACAAATTCAAGAAATCAAACAATTTTAAGCCTCTCCACAGCGGTGTTTGATGTTGTTCCTTGTATCTGAGTAGATGAAGCCATGAGTGTTTCAGACTTTTAGAGAGGTTGAAGGACAGAACAACGAAGAAAGAAAACAAGAACAAGGCTGAAATGGCTACAGGCAAGCCAGACAGTGAAGAACGCGCCAGAAAATGGCCAGAACAGAGATGAGTGGGTCTTCTTCAGAGATGGTGTGTACTGCTAGAAACTGGCCACAAATGAAGTGTGCAGCCAGATTCTGACTGGAAATGAAGTGTCACTGGATTCTGGGTAGAACTTGATGTGTGCCACAAGGAAACTCACTAGAGAGAGACGGGCCTCTTTCAAAGATAGCGAGGGTAGGGCTTCAGATGTGGAGAGCACATATACCTAAGGCTATATCAGACCTGGTTAAATGAAACAGATTTTCTAATGTGTTTTCAATGGCACACAATAAAAAATCAATAAATAGTAAGTTTTAATTGAAAATTTTAGCATTTAATGTTATCAATGCATTGAATCATCTGATTTCCAATAAAATTTTACTATGTATAGGTTACATTAGAAAACCCATAGACAAAAAAGAGGTAAAATCCCAAGATTGCCCACCGCCTTAAACAACTTTAAAATTTAAATGGCATGAAGAAAGGTCAGAAAGGGCTTTTATGCCCTATGCAGAAATAGAGGCAAGATGACACCAACATCCCACTAAAGCAGCCACTATTTGCACTGCTCCAGGTATGACAGTGTAGTACTCAACAACAAGGGAGATTGGAGCAGCAGAGGGCTGCTAGTGCTACACTCCGCAAAAATACTATACTTTCATCATTTCCTTTTTGTTTACGACTCCAAAGAACAGGGTGATAAACTTGAAAACAACAGATATATCATTTCGTTTTCATGTAACATCAATAAACCGAATCATGATATTGCAGTCTGATAGCATTGAGTTGTTGCCCTCATCTAAATGGTTTCATGCCTTCTTCTCATGGAGAAAGGGGAACCCCAGTTAATCTGAGTTTAGTTTGGCTTGCAATATCAAATTATCCTCATGTGCAACCATCTTAGCAGTAACTCATAACGCACTTCTCAGAAAAAGCGATTAGTGATACTAGTTACCAAAGAAAAAAATCCATCCCCCCGAATGCATCAATTCGTTCTCAACATTTTCCTAATCTCTTATCAGTTCTTTCATAACCTTTTGCTTAAAGTGAAACAGCAGTTATCATCTCGCAATCTCTAACAAAATTTAAAAAATAAAAAATAAATAACTGAAAACAAAATTGACGAATAATTTACAATTATAAGTAAAAAAAAAAACAGAAAATAAATGTGCCGAAGGAAGGGGTCACCTCTTGGTGTGTGAACTGCGGAATGCTCATCGGTGAGCGACCAATACAGTCCAGAATAAGGTGGTCGCTACTGTGAGGAACTTGCCACTGGGTTCAATTCTGCAGATTTGTGTGTCAGCGGCGCACAATAATGGAGATTGCAGAATTAGGGTTCGCAATAAAAATACGAGCAGTAACGCTCTCGCGCTCACGCTTCCCCCACTCAGAAGAATAATCAAAATTGCAATCGAAATTGCTTTATCTCTTCTCTGTAATTTTTTGGGCCAAATTTTTTATCGCCTGATTTTTAATTCGTCAATCTTTTTCATAGGATAACTTTCAAAAAAATATTTTTTCATTTTATAATAATTTAAAATAAATCGTAAATTTTGAGATTAACAATTTAAACTAAACATAACCCAAGCAACTTATCCAAACACATCCTGGACCATGGTTATTACCCTTCCTTTTTAAAAAATTTCAAGATTATGCAAAAATTAAAATTTTTTGTCATATTCTTAGTTTAAATAGTCAATCATTAAATTTTTAACAACATAAGTAGTTGATGAAATTTTACGCGTGACACGCATATGCTATCTAGTCTCAAAACTCTAAGCAAAAATGTTGATAAGTTTTTTTAAGGATTTTTCTTATTATTATTCATTATGAAGAAGGTAGAACGAGAAAGATAAAATGTATAGTAGAAATATAAAATTAGGAAACTTTTTAATGTCATTTGTATTTTTTTTTTTTTTTCAAACATTTGGAATATCAGGTGCATGTCGTATACAGTTTTTGTTTTGTTTTTCAAATAGATTAATGATGTAATAAATGTACCTTTTTGTTAAAATAAAAAACAACATAACAAAAAACTAGTATCTACATTGAGCAACGTTGAAGTATCAATTAACAATGGATTGTCATGCCACATCATACTTCATTAGATGATTCCCACTATATACAAGGAACTTGATGGTGCAAATAATGGGGTGATGTTTGTGAAAATTTGAAGCATCTCCTTAGATTAAAGACATAGCCTCCTTATAATATGAGAAACAAAATACACCATGCAATCTCACTCCACGCAACCTACAAACCCTTTTTAATTGTCATAAGTTTAACATGAATGTTTCATAAGGATAACTTATCAAATTTACGATTAGGAACTACCAAAAAAGTTAATAATAATGTCTAAAGATAACTCGGTACATCAAGCCTGTGATGTTTCAATTCTTCAAAAACACATACTAAAAAGAATAACATTATATTTAATTTAAGATTAAATAACACTAAAAAAATTATATATATGTATGTATATCTATACATCGTTACCAATGGATTTGTAAAAATAATTAAGATTTATAAATGTTCTCCGCACAAATAATACTATATTTATTGAATTTTAATTGAAAAAAATACTGTTGGTACATAATATTGTTAATTTAAAGTGGAAGGGGTAATCTCTAGTTATGAGTAATTATTATTAATATATAAGTGTCTTTAATTTCCAACTCTAAAGAAAAGAAAATGATACATGACACATTCAAAGAAAGGCATGTTTGCTCCTTCAACCAAAGACAAGGTTTTAATATCCAAAATGTACATTTAACAGTGCATTAAAAACCACCTCAATCCTAAATACCAAACACAGACCAAACTAAAAACAATCCAAACAGTGTTCTGTGTATTTTAACTCTTATTGTTCTTAACTATGTTAAAGTGAATAAGGAAATGATCCTTTGGGGAAGGCTACCCTTGTTGAGGCCACCCGTAACAGTTCACGATTCAGCCAAATATTATAATAAATGTGGTAAGAGAATATAATCTAATCCAATGTTATATTTATGAAGCTATTAAAATGACACAAATAGTCAATCTAGTAAGACTTCCTCAATTGAATAGATTAATTATTGACGGGATTTCATTACAACGTTGCCTTCTGCATGAAGGACGTCATTTTCTTAGTAGCCATAACAAACCATAAGATCTTCTATAAAGACTTGCTCATGTCATCTTCCAAACTTTACAGTAATTTTGATTATGCAAATTTTACGGATTTGGATCTTCTTTTTCTGTTATGCCAGTGACTGCACATTCAATTTTATTTTAAGTAGAGTCACATTTTTAAACTTCTAATTGGCAACTCTGTTTTAAAAATTGAGAATTGGCAATGTTAATACTAATAAAATTTAAAATTTGAGCCATTCTGTTTTATTCACTTACTCCAATGTTAATGCTAATAAAATATCCCTTATAAAAATTAACTTCTAATCCAGCAGCCAAGGTCAATCGTAAATTCAAATCCAATTAGACAATATCTTTATAGCATGAAATTTTCTATATTTTAAATATCTCAAATCATAACATCAATTACTTTTAAAACTCATGCTAAATAAACCGTACATTCCCCTCAATAGATAAATAAATATAAAAAAAAAGGTCCTTGAACTAGAACAGGGGTGTACTATACTAAAATCGGAAAACTTCAATAAATATCAAATGACTAGAAAAATGGTTTTTAAAATTCAATGAATAAATTTCCACTTTTACTTAACCAAAATGTAAATAATTGTATTTTTTTAATATAGGGAAGGGGTATGACATGGTGAGAGATACCGAGAAAGACGGGTAAAAAAAACAAGGAAACAAAAGAGGGAAAGAAAGCAACAATAGTATTAGCAACGATCGAGCTACGAAGAGCAGAGCTCAATATAAAATAACCAAAGAAAAGAAAAATTAAATTAAAATAAATTCGAGAGAAAAAGGAAAAAAAAAAGAAAAAAGAAAAAAAAAAGGAAGAGAGAGAGGCAAAGACGAAGCTTGGAAGATTGAAACCCAGTGAGTGAGGTTCGAGATTTGTGACCAATTCGTGAACTTTGCGAAGGTCAGAGTTCAATCAATGCCCAAGTCCTTTGTTTTTTCCTCAAACACTTGCTACCTTTAGTCTTTCTTCTTCTTCATTGTGCTTCTTTCCATTGCAATTTTGAATTTTCGTGTTTTTTTTTTTCGTAACTCAGTTTTGTCCAACTCACTGATCTCTTTCCCTCTACTTCGAATTTTGAAAATTGAAGTTCGAAGCTTAAGAATTTGGTGAAACAATGGGGTTTAAATGGGTGCAGTGATGTAATGTTCGCTTCGTGGTTTTTCGACACAACCATGGTGTTTAGGACCCTGGTTTGGTGATTCAAACTTAGGGTTTTGATATGCTATTCAATTCAACGAATTTTAGTTTGATTTTCGGAATTTCGGTCTCGGAGTTGGGGAGTTCCGTTGCGGTTTGATCTCTAGGGTTTGAGTGTTGGGAAGATGGGATTTGGCTTTGCATTGTCTGTTCTATTGGTTGCTGATTTTGTTCTGTTTTGGGCATAAGGGTAACCTGTTCTTGTTCAGAATTGGAAGTTTCTTTGTGGGTTACTCTGTTATTAGTATATCATTCATGCATCTGGCTGTTGACATATGCAGGGATTGTAGTTAGTTGATTTGTAATAAGCAGATATGGGGGAGGGGAAGTTTAGTGTTCTTTGGAAACGGAAATAGCTGTAATTTGGCTCTAATTGGGGTTATTGGTGGGTGGGTCATTTTTCTGATTTGTTGGGCGTTGTATGAATTTGCCTCGTGAGAAATGCAACCCCAGCAGAGCTCAAGAATTGATTTGGGTGAATTGAGAGCACAAATAGTAAAGAAGCTTGGAGCGGATAAGTCAAAGCGGTACTTTTATTACTTGAACAGGTTTCTGAGTCAGAAACTGAGCAAGACTGAATTTGATAGGTTGTGTTTTCGAGTACTTGGGAGGGAGAATCTTCAATTGCACAACCATTTTATAAAGTCAATTTTGAAGAATGCCTGCGAAGCCAAGACCCCACCACCAATCCTGCCATCAGGTCCTCCAAAGTCTGGTGAACATGGTACAGACATATCTCCTGGTAGAGAAGACGGGCATGAACAGAGTGTTGCCAGCTCCCAAAATCAAAAGGCCCACATTTGGTCAAATGGGGTTTTGCCGGCATCCCCAGGTAAGGTTAGGTCTGGAATACGGGATCGGAAGCTGAGAGATAGACCAAGCCCTCTCGGACCAAATGGGAAGGTTGATTCTGTTTCTCACCAATCAATGGGTACAGAAGACAGTGGTAGTAAGGTCGATATGGAGAATGGAATTCTTACTCCATGTGATTATCAGAGACCGACACAGCATCTTCAAGCTGTTGCTGAGCTACCTGAGAGTGAAAGAGGAGATTATATTCATCGACCTGCAGATAAACCAAGAATGCACGGTAAAGGGCCAGCTGGAAGGTCAATTGTTGAAGATGGGGAAGAGGTAGATCAGTTAAACCGCCTGGGTTTCTCTAGAAGTCCCTTGATGGCACCACTTGGGATTCCTTACTGCTCAGCAAGTGTAGGGGGAGCCCGCAAAGCATTGCCAGTGGGTAATGCTGGTGATTTTGATAGTTATTGTGACAGTGGTAGGTTGTCTGATACAGATACTCTGCGAAGACGCATGGAGCAGATTGCTACAGTACAAGGTCTTGGAGGTGTTTCTATGGAATGTGCCAATATGTTGAATAATATGTTGGATGTGTACTTGAAACGGTTGATCAGGTCTTGTGTTGAATTAGTTGGAGCTAGATCTACAAATGAGCCAAGGAAGCCCCCTGCCCCCAAACAGCAGATACAGGGTAAGATCATCAATGGTATGTGGCCAAGTAATCATTTACATGTTCAGAGTACTGGTGGATCAGCAGAACCTGTGCCTGAGCACAGACCGCCTTGCTCAGTTTCTTTGCATGATTTTAGAGTTGCCATGGAGCTAAATCCACGGCAACTTGGAGAAGATTGGCCACTGCTGTTGGAGAAAATATCCATGAAATCATTTGAGGAATAACCCATGAAAATTTGTCTTCTTATGCATCTAGTTCTGATGGCTCAGCAATGGTTGGTGAATGGTGATCATTGGTGCACCTTGTCTTGTTCTCTGTGCCAGTACAAACAAGATGGTCGCAAATAGATACTTCTAGCCCTTTCGAGATAAAATATTGGTTTTGAGCTTCAATTTGTCTTATCTCTAAATTTTCTGCTAACCAAGGGTACTTTCAAATCAAACCCACGATTGGTTGCATTGTTGTATGTTTTAGCATTGCTGTTGGCTGTATTTGCCATTCTAGAGATCTCAAGGCTTTTGTTTGCTTTACAGCCAATGAGAAAGAAAACAAGGAAAGTTTTGCAGGGATACTGTGTTGTGTAGCTGGATCAGGATCAAGAAACTGTGACATGTATAAGAGCTGCAGGGTTGCTCTGTATGTATTTTTAGAATCGGAGGATTGATTTAAATTTACTATCAATAACACATTAACATCTATTGAAATTACCCTGATCATTCCAGTTTTATGGTTGAACTCCCTGATTTCAAAATTCACCAATACCCAAGTAGTGTTTTGGTTTCCTAGTTTTTTTGGTGTAGATTTGTAACTTACACTACTTTTTAAGTGCAAGTTAATTTGGTGACTGTAATTGTTATTTTCAATAAAATGAGATTTATAAATTTTGACATTTCACTGTTTTATTAATTTAATGTACAGAGTCATTTTTTTAATGAATGCTTATTGAGGTATCCTATACATTTGATGTTTCATTAGTTTCATTATCTCTGTTTAAGGAGTCATAATTTCTCCCTGTATTAGTTGAACCATTTTGATGCATTTGTTTAAAATTTCACTGACAAAAGTTCTTTGCACATTTTTGTGTATCACAAATATAGTGACATATGGGATGCATTCTGTAATATCAGAACTTTTGGGACTAAAAGCACTGTAGGCCTAAAATGCATGAAAAATTGAAAATTCTACAGGAAAACTTGAAGGGAACAGTAGACGTCAACATTCCATTCTCTCAAATGATTGGAACATTTTCTACTCGTATATATGTAAATTATACTGACACATCTGCAGTTGAAGAGTGGTCGTGTGTTAAGCTAGTATAGCTGAGAATCTGATAAACCGGTAAGTTACATGTGCAAAGTCAGGCAGATTGGAGGAAATTACTTGCAGAGGGGTTGTGGCATGTTGTTTATGAATACAGCTGCAGACGAAGAAAAAAGAGACCTTTTAATCTTGATCTGTCTTGGTTTTTCTCCTATTTGTTACAACTAGCTGGAGATTCAATTTACACAATATATAAAGATAATTCCATAAATTTATAGTCTGTAAACATGCCCAGCTCAGTGAAAAATAAATTTTCAACATGGTCTATTGGTATGAATTTTCAAATAGACTCAACATTGAATTGTTTAGACTTGTTATATGCTATTGATCACCAAAAAGTCCTTGACACATTTGCTTTTGGTAGCATTTTGTGCTCCTGGTAGATAATTGCCAATATTGTTGAAAATTACCAGAATCTTTCCGTGTTGTCAATTTGTCATTAGGTAGCAATTTTTTATGGTATATTTTTAACTGATTTTCTTTCTGTTCTTGCATTGAACACACAATACATGGGTGGCTAATGGCCTTTTTTCATTGGGGTTTTACTTTGTCTGTCTATTACCATAATTTATAAATTATAAACACAGATCAAGTATAATTTGCCAATGACAATACTCCACAATAAATACCAAAAGGTGGACTGTTGTATAGTATGGTGTGAAATATGCAACCCATATCAGGCTTAATTATGGAAATTGATTTCATCTCACTGCTAATAACTATTAAGTTTCTGTATTTATTAATACTGCTCTAATTTTTAGAAATTTATTATCCAATTCTATCCTGTGAGTTATCACTCTGATGCCTTATTTTTAATAATATACAACTTAAAACAATGTTTGGACCTAAATTATATTGGAAGTTTGGTGTTTATTTTATGCACTGACTTGGTATTTATTTGTATTGCTTCTTAATAACTTCAAATGGCCATGTGTGATGCAAGTGACCATCATGCATGGCATCATCCTCGTAAGATTCGATGTAACTCGTGTAAGTTTTGAAAACACCCTCAGGGTGACATTGTAGGGATGATATTACATTAAGAGAGCCAAGTTTTGGGGAAAAGTGCATATAACATATGCCTGAACTTCTAGTTTAGGCAAGTAACTCCTGGAATCTTAAAAAATTTGCAAATAGCTTCTTCCACCTAATCTATAAATTTCTGTTAAGTGTCAGCACCTCAGTTTATGGTTGTTTACAGAAGAAGTTGGACGGATACAGAAGTTGCCATCTGCAAATTTATCAAAGTTCTGACAATGATTTTCAAAAGGCTAATGGTGAAGTGGCAACTTTGTTTTACTCAAAGAACAAAATATGCTGTATATGTGGTACTTATTGAGCTGTTATGAATATTGATATTGATTACCTGAATTAGGTGACGTGTGCATTCGCTGCATGAGATGGAACAAGCACACAGTTGAGAAGCAGCTGATTCCAACTTCCAAGTCCATCCTATAAGTTGTCAAGTGAGTGCTTACACAGTGCTCAGTGCATACTGCTTTCAGATTTAAAACTAAGAATGTACAGGGGTAAGGGAGAATTGCTTTTGACTGTTTTTTTCATTGATCCTTCTTTTGGGCTATGCATATATGGCACAGCTTGGAGGAACTTGACTGTGACAAAAAATAATTATGAACAGAAAATGTGGATTATATATATTTTTCTAAAATGGTCGTCCAATTGGTTTGGAATTTATTTTTTTAAGAGCTGCTATCTATTCATCATTTTCTTTCCATTGATCAATTAGATTTGTCTAGTTGAGTTTTGCTCTAATTCTGAGTGATATTTATTTTACGGTTATTAAATTCTAGAAGATTGAATAGTCCATAGTCAGTTGGGGCAAAATTTCAAGGTTCTATCATGGTAGATATTAGACACGTCTTGATGAAGTATAAATGCAAGATGAGGGAAAAGATGCAATGCGTTAGAAGTTTTCAAAAGTACTAAATTACAGTGATCCTGAGACTAGCCAGTAGCAACTAGCCAGGATGCTATTATAATTGTTTTCATTATTGTTAGTTCAACCATCCATATAAAACAGAGTTGTGAGTGACAACATATTATTTGTTATCTGTTGAAATTGAGACTGCAGTTCAATGCCGCTGGTTTAATGTCTGGTGCTTGAGCATTTGTATAATATTATTTATGTTAAGCAGCCCAAACGTAACGTTGGAAGACCAACACGCTACAAGGACTGAGACTTGAAGTGGGCCAATAGTTAGCCCATGCAACAACCAGTTGTACCTTTTATTTTTAGCTTCAATTTTAGTTTTATTATCTGGTGCCATATGTTAGGCTCATATCCATGAGCACTATATATATTGTCATTTGTTATTTTTAAAATTCAAGAAAGAAGTATTCAATATATTTTTGTTTTGTATTGTAGAACCCTAGTATTCTTAATGCTTCCTAGTGTGAACAACAGCCTCCATTAATATACCCTATCAATTCTCGTAACAATTGCTGCTTTCATTGACCTTACTCCATGCCTCCTAAACCAACTACCCCCTACATCCTATTAAGACCCTTCTCCAGCACCTACCATGGTTGCTCTCACTGTAGAGTTAGGACACCTTGGGCCATCATGGATTCTAGACATGCTGGAGTCACCACTATCCTTGCCAACCTCTTGCACCGTCTACCTACTTCCCCATCCTAATATGAGGTACATTCTCCTTCTTCATTTACTTCTACACCCATTTTCCTCCTGCCTACCACCCATTCCATTTCGTCTCCTATACCACCAATTCTCTATGCCCCTTCCAACTTTACTGAACCCCATAGACCCTATCATTACAATTCCCAATATTCACATCCCTACCCTCTCTGACCCACTTCTCTACCAATACCTTGCCCTACCCCTTTCCACCTCCCACATTTACACCTCCCTTTCCAAACAGTCTCGCCACTTAATGCTCAGGCACATTATAAGTTACCTAAATTACAGCTGGATGCTTTTGATGGAACAGACTCCTTAGGTTGGTTATTTAAAGCAGATCAATTTTTTCAATTTTACCAAATTCCATTAGATCAACGGTTGCCCTTGACTGCTTTTTACATGAGAGGAGATGCCTTGACGTGGTTTCAATGGATGTATTATAATCATCAATTTCTAGACTGGTTTACTTTTACAAGAGCTTTGGAGGTGCGTTTTGGTCCATCAGCATTTGAAAATCACCAAGCCGAATTATTTAAGTTACGACAGACTGGTTTTGTTGTTGATTATCAAGTGGCTTTTGAACGTTTGTGCAACAGAGTTTATGGGTTGACACCGAATATGATCCTTAATTGCTTTATTTCGGGTTTAACTCCAAAGATTCAGCGAGAAACTGCAATACTTCAACCTCATTCTATCACTCATGCAATTGGCCTTGCTAAATTGGTTGAAGCTAGATTCAAGGATTCTAAGCCTTGTTTTTCCCGTTTCTCTCCATCCACTTCCCAAACTCAACGCCCACCACCCACCACTCCTACCCCCACCACCCATTAGATGACTCTTTCAAACCTAAATACAAGAACGACACGCCCAAGGCTTATGTTTTTATTGCGATGAATGATTTATTACAGGCCATCGTTGTGCTAATAAACGCACATTTCTCATTCTGGTTGATGATAATAGTAAACTACCAATTGACAATGTTGAGTTTGAATAGGATTCTACTACCCTTCTCCTTGATTTTGACTCCTTCCATTTCCAGCTCTTACCCCATGCCCTTTCTGGCCTTCCCTCTCCTAAGACTTTGCGCTTTAAAGACATCATTGCTGGCCTGCCAGTTGTTGTTCTAATTGATTCTGGCAATTCCCATAATATTTTACAACCACGAATTGCTTCTCATTTGACAATCCTTTCCATTCTTACCACTTCTTTCTCCATAATAGTGGGTAACGGTGATCGCATTTCTTGTACAGAGCGCTGTGAGAATGTCCCTATTTCCTTATAGGGCCATTTGTTTTCCTTACACTTCTATCTACTTCCAATAAAAGGTGCAGATATTGTTTTGGGAGTTGATTGGCTTCGTTCTCTTGGACCATTGGCAGCCGATTTCGCCATCCCTAATATTTCCTTCACCCATAATGATACACACATCACCCTCACAGGCCAAAACACATCCCTTTCTTCACCTATATCCTACCTTTAATTTTGCCAATTAGTCCACACAAATGTGATCTCCTTATTACACTTTTTGCAAATTTTACCCATTAACTTAGATTCCCAACCCTTCCCCTAGCCTTCCTTCGTCCCCCTCCAACCTACCCACTGCAATTCAACAACTTCTTCAACTCTACCCCACTGTTTTAACCCCTCCCCCACATGGCCTTCCCCCACTTCGACCCCACGACCACCACATTCCTCTTTTACCCAATACCCCGCTTATTAAAGTTCACCCTGACCGTTATCCTCATTCCCAAAAGGAAGTTATGACCAACATTATTCAGGATATGCTACGCGAGGGCATCATAGTCCCTAGCAAAAGCCCCTTCTCTTCTCCTGTTCTCCTAGCTAAAAAGAAAGATGGCTCTTGACGGTTTTGTGTTAACTAAAGAGCCCTAAATGCCAT